GTGGATATCAAATGTGAAAAGTATGTATAGGAACTGTGTTGCGACTACCGAATTGTTTCACCTTGTAGAGTTGAGCTTTAGGTTATATACATACTACGCATAAGTAGATGCACCAGATATGTTTCGCTTGATGATTTTTGACAAAACTTTTTGGTAGCTGCGGTAATCTACCATTTTTGATTTTTGCTCAAGCGGATCCACAATAAAGATACTACTTTGTTTCACATGGTATACATTATAAATTACTAAAAGTAAGATACTATGGTGATTGCCGCAGTCACGTGTGTTCTAGGCAAAAGCAGCTAAATTAATACGATCTTCAATTCGTAACAGCTCACAACTTTTAAAAAGATGTCAGACACGAAAGCTTCAGCTTGTCACTAATCAATATATGCTAAACCAACGATTTTTTTTCTTTTATTCTAACAGCAAGACCATGTTGCTTGATGGTTTTTTAAAAAATAGGGTTTGAATTTGTCCTTTATTTTTTCTAATATTTGTGGACGAAGGATTTTGCCGTGTTGTCCTCCACTTTGTTCTAATTTCAATGTGTAACTGTATTCCTATTCTCAGTGATAGCCTGGAGACCCAATCAAAACATTTTCATGCTTTTTTTGAAACCCTCCAATCGGGCTTTTCTAGTTGCACTGAAAAATATGCAGAGGAGCTAGGCAATATAATTTTCTTTTAGTTGAAATTTTCCAGCTACAACCTGCAAAACAACAGAGAAAAAATGGTTTTTCATATCGCTGCATTGCTGTCGCTTTCACTCCCTTTTGTGTGCTTGCATGGGCTGCTGATGATACTCTCCAATCCTATCTGTTTCAAAAGTAAGGGCAATGACAGTATTGGTACTGACTCAACATTAAATGGGTTGATGGTTATGGCGATATATTTAGCAGGACCAATAGCACCATGCTCCAGTGAATTTTTTCAATGGATCCCTTCTTGCTATTTGCTTCCGTTAATCAACGGTGTTACTCTTCATAAAAAACCACCAGCTAACTTCATTTCACCACTTGACCTAGAGTGGCATCTGTCAATATTGAATCAAAATAGCAGCAACCGAAGACCCCCACCATCTGCACAATACAAATTTTGGTCATCTCAACAGATTGCCTTCATGCAGCGAAGCTCGCACAACCAGCTGCAAGATGGTCTTTCAACCAGAGTAGCCGCGAAAAACCACACAAGAGTAAAACAACATTTCTCAAGGTCTCTCTTGTATGAAAATGAAAAAGCCATAAAGCAAACGAGAAGTTGTTTTTTGTGTTCCTCCCCTATCTTCATTTTTACCCTTTGCTCAAATAACTTGCTGCAAGCACTACAGATGATAGCAGTTGTTCATTTCGAGAATGTAGCTAGGTTTTCGCTACTACATGAGGACAGGCTTGAATGTGTTGATTCTAACAGCATCATGATCAGTTTCTGTGTCATCATAAGGTCCCTTTACAAGGAAATTCAAAATGACATGACATTACAAAAACAGTGTATGGAACCTAAACGCATGTTTCGGGAATTTAGTTTGTATTTTTCTACAATACCAACTGTAGAAGTACTTCGAAAGGATCGTTCAGCGTATTCAACATATACTTGGATTGCTCATTTTCAAAGGCAGCAAGCCAAATATATTCTTTCTACCAAATCAAACGAAGGCTTTACTAGCAGCAATCTAGCGAAATCAAAATCTACACAGCAGTCGCTGCCTCATTCCGAGAAAAAGTTTGTTGTTCCGTCTCGTTTTATTTCTACTAACCAAATACCATTAGCAAGTAATGGTAATGAAGTTAAAGTGGAAGAATACCAGCAGCTCAATAAGCATATATCCCAAAGCAAGAAAAGTTTAGAAGAATCTATATCTTTCATTCGAATAGTTTCGCAGTATTTTTTTGAAAAAAGCGATTTCCCTGAATTTCTATGGGCTGAGGTTTATAATTATGCAATGCCACACTTGCACATACCAATCAAAGAAAACTTGAGGAGCAGATTACAACCATCAGAACTTGAGCCATTTATAGCTCCATCTAAGAAATCAATATGTCATGCCGTGGCAGGCGAATATTTTTTGTTTCCGGAAAAGGCAGCGGTGGAGAGTTGCAGTATTTACTCACAAACAATCTATGGGAAAAAATTACAAGATAAAAATCCACTGATGCCTTGTACCTGCAATTCCAAAGCAAGTGATATGTCTACAAGACATCCATTGATAATTTCAGAAGATTTCACATATCAGTCAAAATTTCATCGCACAGTTTGGCTTGATGAGTTTCGATGGGATCACATTCACTCTGAAAATATGACTAGGGATGCTGCAATAGAGTTATTTCTTTCTATATTGTTTGATGTGATGGAATTACCTACATGTTCTTCGATTTCTTCTTCCCCTTATAATTTTCCTCAAAATCAATCTCTCTGTTTGTGGCAACTCACCATCATTTTAAAGGCACCTAAAATTTCAGCTGCATATCCATTTTGTCATATCTTAATGCCTTATGCTAATTGGTTATTTCCTTTATTCTCTGAATTTTGGCACCTCCATCGCAAGCAAAAAAATGTTAAGCCTAAATTTAAGCCATTTGATTATTTATTCCAGTGTCCTATGCGAGACAATGTTACATCTCAAATGCTCAGTATGCTTGCAATGAAAACACTACCACATCTGTTAGAGAGTATAGATGAAATAGATGATCCAGTTGTTAACGTAAGGGGAAAGAAAAAATGGCAAGCTGATGATACGACCAACATACGATCGCCTTATCAATTTGGAGTGGGACTTTTTCCTAATTTGAAGATATCATGGCGCTCACATATTGGAAAACAAGCAACTTACTATGCAAATACTTCAATTCCTTCAATATGGTTAAACATCACCTTAAAGGAACGACTCCAAATTTCAAAGGTGGTAGAACATCGCTTTCACACTCTAAGCACAGCGAATATTCTTCATCCAAACGAATCCTTCACAGCAAAACTAAATTATCAGCCTCCTTTTTCAGATGTTTATGGAATTTTAAAACCTAATGATAGTATTTTCTGTGACCAAACAATAGGAGGCAGGCATAGAATAGCGTCTCATCTACTTCCAATGGCTACACAAGATGATCAAGTTTCTGATGCACTTCTTATCTTGAAAGGAGATGATGTTAATGAAGAATTACTCACACTTAAGTACGATTTTGCTTCAGTAGACGCCGGAACTCGTGTCGTTGCTTCCTCAAGAAGTCTGAAGAACACTAAGGCCATTCAGGTTAGAAGGAGCGTTTGTTTCATATGCCATGCCTTTTTATAAAAAAAGTGCATAGTTTCTTGCTTTGATGCATGGTTTTGCCGTCTGCTACTTTGAAGTTTTTGCCAGTTGGTGTGACTTTTAAAACGTTAGACTTGTTATTACATAAGAATTAAAAAGTTTGTACAATTTTATGTACTTTATTTTATAGAGTTCAGCTTCGGATTCCTATCTTCTAGTCCCCTGTGAAAGCGAATCATGGTTTGTTCTTTCATTTCCAGAAGATATTCGCATAGAACAAGTGGTTCTACAATCACTAGAGTTCTATGCTTCCACATTTCGGTTTGTTTAATTAACAGTACTTAACACCATGACTGCTTAATTATACAGGTTTACACTATTATTTTTATGAGGATGAAAACCTCATGTTTTGTTCTGCATCAGCTCTTTTTTTTGTTTTGTATTTTCTATCTTGCTCAACCCTAGCTTTTTTATATGAAAAATTTCAAGGCATTTAAGGCTTTCCTCGAGCGACCATTACCCTACGAATCAATGGAGATTCATAGCAATTATTGAAACAAAGTTCACACGTGACAAGGAAGTTTTCGAAATTCAACAGCACTACCAAGAAATGGGTCAAAATTATCCTTGGGTGAAGTAAGACATTTCTTAGTATCAAGTAAAGCATGAAACAATATATTTCGTATCGTTTATACCTTATATCATATTTTTGTGCAATTATCAAGGTACTTAAGAGTAGAAATGCTCTCATATCATGGTGGTGATCGTAATTATTATTGTTCGATGACACGCTTTCAAGTTTTTGGCTCTACGGCAGTTGAAGTGTAAGTTTTATGCATACTTTCTAAAATCTTTGCAAGTTATTCTGCGTGAAAAATTACAATTCAAAAGTTGGTCGTGACTATGCTCAATATCGAGAATATTGTAGTCACTGTAGAGCAGCTGTAAGATTCTACCAAAGTCTATCGACTTTCTTATGGCGTCAATTCAATCGTAACGGCTTGTTAGTGCCACAATTCCCCAATAAAATTTGTTATTGGATGCATCAGTTGTAACGTAAAAATATCAAATCTTCTATTTCTTGGCATGAGTGAATTCAATAGGAGCGCGAAACAGCCGCGATTTTGAAACACAAAAGTATATTTCGCTAAAGGTAGTATGTTGTAGCAAAAGTAAAAGAGAAATGGGGGAACCAACATTAAGTACAGATCCGGTGCTCTTACGATTTCATTAACACATCGAAAATGGTCATTTTTTACAGCAATCGTAGTAGTATGTACATTTTTAGAGTGTTCGTAGCAAGCAGACCGTTGCTGAATTTCTGCTGTCATAGCGAGGAAACACTGCAATTTTTTTTTGGAAAAGCTTCCCCAGTGAAGGGTTTTAGGTTTTTTCCCGATTCTTGTTGGAAATAGAGGTTCAAGATTTTTCCTTATTTTTTTTTTCTAATTAGCAATTGATCGAAAAAAAATACATAGGCATGGTGTAAAGTAAGACGTTACGTGAATACTTAGTTGGGGTATTCTAAGGTTTTACATTACAGATCGTAAAGAATAATGAATTGAGTGATCCTACTGCGAATCAGAAGTGGGGGAAGGAAGAAGTCTACAGTAAGAAAGATTTTAGAATTGCCTCTCTTCTTTTCTATTCGCATGAAGAAGCTTGCTTTTCCTATCGAGTGAGAACAAAACAGGAGTGAGAAACCTAGCTTCGCAATGTATGCAATAAATCAATTTTTGTTGGAATACTTTTGGTCCGAATCGTCTAGTGGTTAGGACAACGCGTTGTGGCCGCGTAAACCCAGGTTCGACTCCTGGTTCGGACACCTTTTTTGTGCTTCCTGTGAATCAAAGTACAACGTATTTTTCCGTCGTCGCAATCCATTCTTTGAATGAATTTCATTTTTTTCTATTCTTTGAGGCAATGTTTTTGTCATGAGAAGCGTGAGTAACAGTTTTCTTCTTTGCTTTTAAACAGTATAATTATTTCCATTCCATTCAGTTCTGCATTTTACTAAAATACAATTTTCCTAATGTTGACTCGTTTTTGTATCTTTTAACTCTTACTGTTTGGCTTATTGGGAAGCTCATTCAAAGTGTCATTAATTCTCAGCACTACACTAGACTGCACGCTTATTGTTTGCGTTGAACGTTTTAGGTTGCAATCTCGTATCAAAAGTTCATATGGTGAGAAGCCCACACGCATCAACGGTGTTGCTGTTCCGTTAGTTTCATTTTTAACCGAAACTTACGTTGTTTCTCTTCCTAATTTTTCTGCTGCGCATCCTTTTCCTAGTTATTCCCTTCCTCGAGATTTCCGCTTTTGGAATTATGACAGTGCAGCAGAACCAAACAACACTGAAGAAAGCGAGAAAAGATTTTCAAGCAATCATGAGGAAAGAAAAGAAAATGGTACCGACAATTCTTTACTTCATTCAGATTGGCCTTATTTGGAAAATGATGATATCTCTTCTACCACAAGGCGCAGCAACCCCTCTTTTAAAAGTAACGACCGAACAGTTACTGCACCCACCGTGGAAAAAGTAGTGCAGCAGGTTCCACGAGCATATGAACACGAAGGTGTAACTACGCCTGCTCCTAGAATTTCTCATAAAACTAATCTCTTCTCTGCTGAAGAGAGTGGTCCCACGCTACCACCTGTTTTCATCGATTCTTCGGTGAATCCATCCAGGCCTGAAGAGTCTCCTAGTAGTAGCGACACAAATCAGCCATCTCTTCCTAGCGTTGCACCGCCATCAAATCCGGTAGAAATATCCACTGTGTCGCATCCACAAATTTCTCCTACCCTCGCACCTGTACCAGTTGGCATTTCTGGAGAAAATGGTAATTCAGAGGGAGATGTTGATCAAACAAACGCCCCAGAAACGATTGATTCAAAAGACTCTTTTAATCAGGCAGCAATGGGAATGACCACATCCGCACTTGAAGAGCGAGGGAATATTGTTGATAGTCTTCATGTACCCGAAACGCTACCTAGGATAGTACGAGACTGGGTATCCCAAATTCCTGGTGGAGAAAATACTAATGGATTATATCACCATCTTCAATCTGAGCACAAAGACTTCTTTGGCGATTTAAATCACTGGTTTTCTGGCCAATTTTTAAATTCTACGAATATTTTAGATGTGGTCTTAAAATTAGCACGTCCAAATCTACCTTTTGGGAACCAAAAATACGCGTTTAATGTTTTACAATTTTTTGAAGCGCTTCATTATTTAAATGCAGAAAATAAATTAAGAAATGCCTCCGTTGGCCCTTTTAGTGAAAGTAGTGAAAGTTATCAAACGGAGGATCGGAAACCCATAACTATGTATCCTTCTGGTGAGAAAAATCTATGGCTGCAATGTTCTCTACATGGTTGTTATTGGGAAAGTGCCGAAGTTCATGCAATAATGTAGTTAACATTTTATGATGCTTTTCTGTGATTTTGTTTTAACTCGACTGCATTGTTTCTTATTTTGGCATTTTCTTTTAATTGAAATGCGTACATTTTGTGATTTTTTTTTAATGAAAATTTTTCTTTATACGCTTCTTTATTTGATTGTAAAGTATTAGAGATACACTGAATTCTTAGGGGCATAGGCTCAGATATGGAAAGCAAGCAACGCTCCCATACTTTGTAATTTCAAATTATATTTTTTGCTTGAGCAAAACAGATGAGGTTTTGATTTAAAAAGAATTTCGCAGTTTAATGAATGCTCGAATTGAAAGTAGTAAAAATGCTTTCTCTAATATCTACAAAGAGAGTGAGCAATGAAAGGCGTATGCATTTCTCATAATATTTAATTAATAGGTAAATCAGATAGCCATGATGGAAATAGTGGCGAAAGTGACGAAAATATAGAGTTGGAGGAAGACACTCAAGACTTTGGCAGTACCCATGCTCTTCTTCGTTTGGTAGATAAAATGAAAATTGTTGAAGATGAAGCAGCAGCCCTTAGAGTAAAGTAAGTAGTAGTATGTGCTATGCGGAGTATTTATAATATTCTAAGATGCATAGAATGCTTTACATCAAAATTTTGGCTTCTTTAATTGCAAAAAATGAATTTTTTTTATGTGGTGGAATACGTGGTGAATATTTTTCAGTTTCTTTTTTCTCATCTCTATTTCAGAAGTCGCCCTTCGTATTGATAGACATTCAAACTTTTTTCTTTATTGGAGAAATTACTTTACTTGGGGTTTTGTTGCCTCTGCCTCCATTTGTAACTTTCTGTTTTTACTTTTTGCGATATTTTTGTTCAGAATAGGCGAGTTAGGCACCCTTTTGCAAGAAAAGGATGTACAATTGATAAATTTGAATTTCCATTTTTCGTTAATCCAGCACTTTATGGGATTTTTGGTACGTTGATATATCTTTCTGCCTATGTAGTATACATAGATAGCATACCAATGTATGGATTGCTTCATATCCTGTGTATACATGGTGAATTGATGACGTGGTATCTAGTTGTAAATACTTTATATTCCTATTTCTCCTTCTCTATGGTCTAGATGTAGTGTTGTAATTAGCATTTTAGTGTATTAGAAAAAAATTTCATGCGGAGAATGGAGCGCTTCTATTAAAAGCTTTTTGAAAATTAGCTGGAGTCATTGTTTTTGCCAGATACAATTTGATACACTTTAATTTTAAGTTAGTTCAGTAAAAAGAAGCAAAAGCAAAATCTGACGCCAATACTTTAGAATGTGAGAGTTGTTGTATCCAATTCTCCCCTCTGAATTATTTTGTATTTCAATTCTTCTCTGAATTCTTTTTCTTAAAAAAAGAGCTCTTTCATGCAAGATTCTTTCGTTTATACCGGTAGTAAATCTTTTTCCTGTTTTTTCATGTATTGCACTGCTTAGCTTTCTCGTTTAGCCAAAGATGAATCCGTTTTAGATGAACTGAGCAAACTTACTGGAGCTCAAAATGCTTCGGAATTTCTTTCAATGGCAAAACTTTTTCCTGAAGGCGACACACGCTCGAATAAACTTTTAGAAATTATTTCCAGTTCTCAGCGTGGGAAGGGAGATATAAATATGCAAACTAATATAAATGGTTCGCTTTTACAATGCCAAGATATCAATTTTCCCAGAAGAAGTACGTTTAGCTTGTTTTATGATGCAAATAAGTATTCATTTATGTGGCTAGTAATCTTGCAAATGTACATGCGCACTGTAAAATTGCATTTGTATAGGTTTTTTGGAATCTGTGCAAACTCTATGGTCACAAGAACGCAGGCAATGTCTTCTTTCTAGTGAGACCTCTCAAAAATTTTCAGTGGGTATAGTTATCCTTGATATTATGGAAACCTGTGCGCAACATTTTAAAGCATTCGTTCATCGGGGAAGATACTTACGCTCTACAATTTGCAATATTAATGAAGTAACAGGCCGTCTCTGTATCTTTGTAGAAGGTTTCAATGCAAGTATTGAGCAGCGTTTCATTTCTCTATTATCATTGGCTAGACAGAATCTTTTAACTGGTTACCTTGAGATTCCGATTTCCAAAATCCCTCTTTCTTCTGACGAAGCTTCTAGCAAGAACAATTTATATAAGAAGGCAACAAAAAGAGTTTGTAAATTCATTGTTTCTCTGGATTATTGGTTATCTTTTCTTATTGTAGCTTCAGGAAAACTTCTTAATATAATGTTTCGCTACTGTACTCAAGTATGTTACTAATAGCAGAGTTTATTCGCTTGCATTGTTGCTTTATACATACTCTTTTGCTCAATTGGTAGGAAATTAAAAATAAAAATGTTTACTAGTGTTTTGCATTTTGAATTTTTCAGACTGCTTATAGCAATTATGCATATTCGTTAGCATTTGTAATTTTGGCAGGTTTTGACTCTAGAAAGAGCTATCTTACTAGGAATTCTTTGCTTCCAAATATTTTTATACTTCAAAGTTTGGCGATTACAGCATTCTTCTCAGCAAGTAAAATCTGAGTCCAAGAGTTCTCAGACCTCGTCATCAACCCGACAGAAAAGCAAGAGTACTATTCAGCTGAAGAAAATAGATACTTAATTGCCGTATTTACGGCAATCATTTTTCCTCGTGTTTTTTACGTCATTTACGTCTTTCCTTTCTTTCATTGATGCTGTACAGTGTCTTGGCTAAAATTACATTATCTTTCATCAAACTAGTTTTGAAGATGAAATATAATATCGGTTTTATTCATGCCTGGCCGATTAGTTCCATTTAATCTTGTACATACTGAATGAAAGATTACTTAATTTTTTGCAACGTAGACTACCGGAAAGGTTTAAGAAAAAAACGTCAAAGCGTTAGTAGAATTAATTACTTTGAGTAACCTTATGCAGATATAAAATATACATATCAAAAACTCTGGATGCAGGCATGGTTTTATAGAGGATTACTTGAGCATGTTACGTAACAGCCTTGTAAAATTATATGGCATGACAATATTAAACACTTGTACCTTTGCCACAATTTTTCGTGACCAGATTCACCAAAATGCATGTTTATTCAAAGATGCTGTGTTCAAGGCAATAAAATTATTGCTTTTTGGGGGGAAAATACGGCAAACTACAAACTTGAGATTGCTAGTTCTATGGGACAGGTGTTTTGTTTGGTGAAAATTGTGTAAAATCATTTATACACATGGCAGGCAGGCAACACAGTGTTTTGTTACATGCTTGTTGCTCTGAAGGTAACATGCTGTTCCCAATAGTTCGTGAAACTACCATTGAATGAATTGGAAAAAGATTACTTGACATTCCATGACCAAAAACATGCACTTGCTGATAAAATGTAGCTCTTTTGTTTGTTAGTGTTCAGCACTCTCTTCACTTGTAATAATGCATA